TGTGTATTAATTTGCAGTTTTTCTTCTCCATAGCCCACAAATTCACTTGTTATCAGTTCCAGCCTATACTTAACCTTCGTCCCAAATTCTAGGGATAGAAAATCTACTTGGCCCAGCATAGATTCTATGGTTAACTCATCATTAGCTAGCTCTAATGGCTGTGAGGATTATGTAGGATAGTCATGGCTGTTGAGCATGCCTTAACAGTGGGGAAATTCTCAAAAGAGTGAATTGAGCAGTCATGGGAAAATGCATGAGTATTTGAGTTATAAATAAAAAGGCCAATACAGATCTGTTAAGTAAGTTACGATATGCTCTCCTGTTGAGTGAAACTCCTTTTATTATTTGATCTTTTTCCTTTTTCTTTTTTGAGACCGGGTTTCTTTGAGTAACAGCCCTGGCTGGCTGTCCTGGAACTCACTCTGTAGATAAGGCTGGTCTTGAACTCACAGAGATCTTCCTGCCTGTTTCCTGAGTGCTGGGATTCGCCCAGCTGAGTTTTAGTATTTTTAAATTACAGGTGTGTGGGGGGGGGTGGACCCTCACACTTGATGGGGGGAATTTGGGCACAGGAGTACCACAGTACATGTGTGGAGGTCAGAGGACAACTTTTGGGAGTTGGTTCTTTTCCTCCTACTATGCGGGTTCCAGTGATCAGACTCAGGTCATCGGGGTTGGCAGCAAGCAACATTAACCACGGAGCCAGCTCTCTGGCCTTTTTTATTTGGGTGTAACAGACCAACCAGATCCCACATCATGACAGGGAGACTTATTACTAGTTAAGGATGCTTTGGCCTTAGCTTAGGCCTTAGCTTAACCTGTTTCTCTTTATCTACATTTTGCCTCTAGGCTTTTTACCTTTCTTTCCTTCTGTATATATCTTACTTTTACTGCTTCTCATGGCTACCTGGCTTCTGGCTGGCTCTGTGTGTCCCTCTCTTTCTCCCTTGTTCTCTCTTCTCATTCTCTCTGCTCACCAGCCCTACCTCTCCCTCTCCTGCCTAGCTGCTGGTTGTATAGCTGGTTGTATATTAGACCAATCAGGTACCCTAGACAGGCCAGGTGAACAGATGCAACACATCTTGCAACACTTCTTTACATACATAATTAAATGCAGTCTAAACAAATGTAACACATCTTTGCCTGGTTAAAATAATATTCTACAACATTTGTTTGTTTTGTTTTTTTTTTGGTTAGGTTGTAACACATCTTTGCCTGGTTAAAATAATATTCTACAACATTTGTTTGTTTTTTTTTTTTTTTTTTGGTTAGGTTGTTTTTTTGTTTTGTTTGTTTGTTTTTGTTTTTTTTGAGACAAGGTTTCTCTGTGTAGCTTTGGAGCCTATCCTGGCACTCACTCTGGAGACCAGGCTGGTCTCAAACTCATAGAGATCCACCTGCCTCTGCCTCCCGAGTGCTGGGATTAAAGGCGTGTGCCAGCAACGCCTGGCTGGTTTTGGTATTTTTATGATGTTGTACAACCGACCCCATTTTCATTGCCATCATCCCCAAAAGAAACCCCAAGTCTGTGTGTGCAGATTTGAGTGCACCACCCTAAACCTATTCTGGACTTTTCTTTCTTTCTTGTTTTTTTTTTTTTAAATTTAGGTAGAGTCATACAACATGTGCCCTTTAGGGGCTGTTTTCTTTCACTTAGAATATTTTCAGGCCTCATCTGTGTTGCAGCATGCATTTCTGCATTTCTTTTTATGATTGGAAATATGACTGAATATTCCTGTGTGTAATTACAAAATATTTTGTTTAGGGACCAGTGATTAGATGATCTTCCAGAGGACTCAGGTTGGATTACCAGCACCACCCACATGGCAGCTCACACCTGTCTGTAATTCCAGTTCCAAGGATGAGATGCTTTCTCTTGGGCTCCATGACACCAGGCACATACATGGTGCAGAAACATATGTGGGCAAAACGCTGACACAAAAATTAATAAATAATTTTAAAGATTTTTCTTTATCCATTCATTCCTTAATGGCCTCTGTATTGTTTCTGCCTTCAGTTTCTGCCCTGACTGGATGATGGACTACAATCAGTAAGATGAATTAAATCTTTTCCTCCTGGTTACTTTTGGTCGTGGTGTTTTATCACAGCAATAGAAACCCTAACCAAGACACATGCATTCTGGTTTCTACAGATCTTTCCTTACCACTTAATTTCTTGTTTGTTATAGCCATTTGGGTGGGAGTAAAGTTGTATGGTGCTGTGTGTTTTTTCTCCTTTAAATATGGAACACTTGGGGCTGGAGAGATGGCTCAGAGGTTAAGAGCACTGACAGCTCTTCCAGAGGTCCTGAGTTCAATTTCCAGCAACCACATGGTGGCTCACAACCATCCGTTATGAGATCTGTTGCCCTCTTCTAATGTGCAGATATACATTGAAGCAGAATGTTGTATACATAATAAATAAATAAATAAATAAAATCTTTAAAAAATGTATTGATTCTGTGGACTGTGGTAATCACATTTTAAAAAAAATATGGAACACTTAACAAATTTGAATGTCATCCTTGTACAGGGTCATGCTAATCTTCTCTGTATTGTTCCAATTTTAGTATATGTGCTGTTGAAGTGAACATGCTATTAGTTTTTTGGTTTTTTGAGACAGGGTTTCTCTGTGGAGGCTGTCCTGGAACTTGCTCTGTAGACCAGGCTGGTCTCGAACTCACAGAAATCTGCCTGCTGGGATTAAAGAGGTGTGCCACCAAGGCCCGGCTACATTATTGAGATTTTTATTTTAATTTCTCCAGTAACAAGTAACATCCTATGTTACATTGGCATTTGGGTGTACTCTTTGAAGACATGTCTGTTAGAATCTGGGTGTGGTGTCTCATGCATGTAGTCTCAGCCCCTGGAAGGCCAAGGGAGACAGTTTGGTTTGCTGAAGGTCTGTCTGAGGGCAGCCTGAGCTACATAACAGCGTGTTCTAGACCATCTGTTCAAGTCCTTTGCAGTCAGTGAGTAGGTGAGCCAGCATTTCATGTATCACAGGCTGGCTGTGTGCATGCTAGGCAACCATTCCATCACAGAACTGGTCCCAACCTCTTCTTTCTTTTTAAAACTAGGTCTCATGTATTCTAGGCCAGCCTTAGACTCACTATGTAGGCAAGGTTTTAAAGTTATCCTGCTTTTTATTGAATTGTGGAATTTTGTTTCCTTCTCTCTAGTCCACAAGCGTAGCTAGGGATTGAAGTCAGGTCTTTTTGGTTGATACAGAAGGTTTTCTCCTCCTTAACAATGCAGCTATTAATCTTTAATTTTGATAAATCTAACTTATTTTCCTTTGCTTATATTTTGGAGTGTCCATATATTTGCCCATCCCTTTTGTTTTTTTTGATAGCGTGTGAGTTAGGGTTCTAAAGTCTTTTGCATATAGCTATCCAGCTTTCCTAGTCCCATTTGTTGAAGAGACGATTTTCTCCTTATAGTTTTGGCGCCTTTGTTGAAAAATCAGTTGATTACAGCTGTGTGGCTTTATTTCTGAACTCCATTTCTACTCTGTGGTCTGTATGATTTTTCTCCATACCAGTACTTCTTGACTGTTAACGGGTTTGTGCTGTTTTGTTGTTGAGGGGTCGTGTGTGTGCGTGTACATGTCCAGTAGACATCAGAGGATGGCATTGGATATCCTGCTTCATCATTCTCCATTTTATTCTCTTGAGGTAGGGACTTTGACTAGACCAAAGTTTACAGCTTTGACTAGGGGGGGCTGTCTAGCCAGTTTTAGAATCTACCTGTCTCTACTCCCTGTGCTAGAGATATAGGCTCTCATGGCCATACCCAGCTTTTATGTATGTGCTTGTGATTTGAATTCAGGTCTTACTCTACTTGGTAAGCTCTGGGTCAGCAAAGGCCTCTGTCTCAAAAAGTGACACCTGTTGTCCTCTGGGTTCATACACATATACCTAGAATCCCAACACTCGAGATGGAAGCAGGAAGAGCGCTAATTTCAAGCCCAGCCTGGGCTAAAGAGTTAGACTCTTTGTAAATAAATAAAAGCTTGGGTGCTGGGCAGTGGTGGTGCACACATTTATTTAATCCCAGCACTTGGGAGGCAGAGTCAGGTGGATCTCTGAGTTCTAGGCCAGCCTTGTATACAGAGGGAGATCCAGAACAGCAAAAGCTACGCAGAGAAACCCTGTCTTGAAAGAACAAACAAAAAGATTGGGTGAGAGAGGGTGATTGAGGGTTTTATCTTAGTGGAGAATATGCTTACCATGTTTGAGACCCTAGAGAGGGACAGCTAAGCATTGGCTATTACTGTTTATAATTTAGAACACCATTATTTTAAACAGTACTTGCTTTTACAATCATTTAAAACTGTTTTCCAGGACAGGCACCAAAACAATACAGAGAAGCCCTGTCTCAAAAAACCAAAAAAAAAAAAAAACAAAAAACAACCAAACAAAAACCGACAACAAGAACAAAAGCTGTTTTACGTTCACAGGAGAATTGAAAGGTAGAGATTTTCTATGCAAGACCTTCCCTTCCCCCAGAGAAGTGTATTTGTCATAATGAATAAATCCTCATAGGGCGAGCGAGATAACCTGAATTCCATCCCTAGAACCCAGTCTAAAGGTGGAAGGAGAGAATGAATTTCACAGATTCTGGGTCCAATGTGGACCCAGATTAAATTCCCAGTAACCACATGGTAACTGTAACTGCCTGCCACTCCAGTTCCATGGGCTCTAATGCCCTCTTCTGACCACTGCCAGCCCCCACATGGTATATATGTTTTCATCCAGGCACCACACCTACATATACAATAAAATGAATAGTTATTTAAAAAGTATTCCTATGACCTTTGCAAACAAGGCCCTGCCCTAAAAATTTATAGAGAACCTACATTCATGTTACCATCCAAAGTCCATAATTTCTATTCATTGATAGGGTAGAGTGATAGGAATGTATTTAGCTTAGTGACAAACTGCTACACTGTCTTCTATAGCGGCTTATGGATTTTTGCTTTCCAGCAGCAGTGAATGAAAATTGCTGCCCTTCACAACTGCTGCCAAGGCAAAGCACTCTTTGCTGACCTGCATCCTGGACTTGTTCTTTTTACAGACCAGTGTGAACACTTCCTCCTCATCTGCATGTAGTGAATTATCACCACTCCATAGTGCTCATTCTTCCTGTGTGTGTGAGTATGCAGGAACACGGGTATCCCTTTTTTTCTGACAGTTTCCTTCATGGAACAGAATAGTAGTAAGTCTAGCTTATCCTTATTTTCTTTTGTGGCGTATGCCTTTAGCATTTTATTTGAACAGTCAAATTTTTGGCCATCTAGGTTTTCTTCTGTGTGGTACTATGAGTTTTATAATGTTACAACTTTTCTTTTTTTGTTTGTTTGTTTGTTTTTTTTCTTTAAGTTTGGGGTTTTTTTGTTTTTGTTTTTCTTTTTTTTTTAAGATTTTATTTATTATGTATACAATGTTCTGCTTGTATGTGTGCCTGCAGGCCAGAAGAGGGCACCAGATCTCATTATAGATGGTTGTGAGCCACCATGTGGTTGCTGGGAATTGAACTCAGGACCTCTGGAAGAGCAGTCAGTGTTCTTAACCTCTGAGCCATCGCTCCAGCCCTTGTTTGTTTTGTTTTTTTGAGACCGGGTTTCTCTGTGGCTTTGGAGGCTGTCCTGGAACCAGCTCCTGTAGACTAGGCTGGTCTTGAACTCAGAGACTGCCTCCCGAGTGCTGGGACTAAAGGCATGCGCCACCACCGCCTGGTGAGTTTTATAATGTTACAATTTTTTGTTTGTTTGTTCAGTTCTGTGATCTATTTTAAGTTAATTTTGTGACAGACTTGAGGTTTGGTCCTAAATTGCAATTTTTGGAGTGATACTCGTTTGTTCCAACATGGTATCTTACAGTCCTTTCTCCTTTGTATATTGTGGTATTACTTTTGCTGCTTTGAAAGTTCAGATGGCTACACCGTGATAAACTTTCAGGCTATTTATTTTGTTTCATTGATGTTTCCTTTTGCCGATACTATACTTGTGGTTTTTTGTTGTATTTTCTTTTCTTTTTTTGGGGGGGGGGTTTGAGACAGGGTTTCTCTGGGTAGCTTTGGAGCCTATCCTGGCACTCACTCTGTAGACCAGGCTGGTCTTGAACTCACAGAGATCCATCCACCTTCCTCTGCCTCCTGAGTGCTGGGATTAAAGGCGTGAGCCACCAACTCCTGGCTCATTTTTTCTTTTTTTGACTGGGTGCCATGTGATGAATGCAAGCTTGCCTTGAACTTGTTAATAACCAAGGATGGCCTTGAACTTGATCTTACTGTTTTTGCCTAGTGCTGCAATTATAGGTGTGTAAAAGTGTTTGCCACCACCGCCTGGTGTATTTTAATAAAAATTTAAAGCAGAAAAAGCCAAGCGTGATGGTGAACACTTTTAATCCCAGTATCTGGGAGCAGAGGCTGGAGGATCTCTGAGTTTAAGGCCAGCCTAGTCTACATAGTGAGTTAGTTCCAAGCCAGCCAGGGCTACACACTGAGACCCTTTCTCTTTAAAATGAAGAAAAGGAAATAAAAAGAAAAAAAAGGGAATGATCTTATTGGGCAGCAAAATGGCTCTGTGGATAAAGGTGCCCAATGACCTGAGTTCAATTACTGGGACGCACTTAGTAGAAGATAATTGACCATTGAAGTTGTCCTCTGAACCCATACACACACACACACTATTGTATGTATGTGCACACATTTTGGATACCAGGAGACAATATCTGGTATCTTCCTCTCTTGCTATCCCCACCTTATTTTTCTGAGATGGCATCTTTCACTGAACCTGGAATTTGCTATTCTACTACAGGCTAGTCAGCAAGCTTCTCCCCCTATCTCCATCCCCTGTGTCCTACCCGGCTTTTGCATCAATGCTAGAGACATGAGGTCAGGTCCTTATGCTTGTGTGCACTGGACTGTCTCCCTAGACTACCTTTTATTTTAGGTCTGCTCTTGTTAAAGTCCTTAGTTATGATTGCTATTCACTTTTAGTTCTGTTGCTTGCGTATTTGAGGTGGTTAGACAAATATACCTGTTATATTTTTCATGGACAGTGTTACGTTTTTATTCTTTTGTTTTTGAGGCAGGGTCTCAAAATGTAGCCCAGGATACCCTGTAACTTGTGACAAAGCCTCCTGCCTCAACCTTCTGAGTGATGGGATTATAGGTATGCATACCAAGTTGAGTTGAGATAATTAAGATGTATTTGTTTTATGTTCTTTCTTACTGAACAGAAATGTAACATTACTTCTAGCCTGTCATCAGTCTTGTCTGATTGGACTAATTAATTTTTAAGATCTTTAAACTTTTATTTTGTTTTATGGTGTTTTGCTTCCTTGTATGTTTGCAGCCTTTGTTTACCTGGTGCTGGCAGAGGCTAGAAGAGGGTCTTATGTTTGCAGCCTTTGTTTACCTGGTGCTGGCAGAGGCTAGAAGAGGGTGCCAGATCCCCAGAAACTAGAGTTACAGAGGTTGTGAGCCACTCTGTGGGTGTTGGGAACTGAACCCTCATCTTCTCGAAGAATAGTAAGTGCTCTTAACTGCTGAGCCATGTCCCCAGCCCCAAGTTTGTTTGTTTGTTTGTTTTTTATTTTTCAAGACAGGGTTTCTCTGTGTAGACTAGGTTGGCCTAGAACTCACAGAGATCCATTTGCCTCTGCCTTTGGAGTGCTGGGATTAAAGGGCATGTGCCACCACAGCCCAGCAGCCTCAAGTTTTAAAATAGTTTTTAAAGCTGTCCGGAGACACATAGCTTTGCAGCAGGTCAGTTACCAGCATCAAAGCTTCAGAAGGCATGCTGCAGATACTGGCGAGGCTGAAGGGTATGGAACATGTGTGACACAGTTGAAGAACGCTGCTTCTACAGTAGCTGGGAAGTTAGTAGAGCTAGCTCCCGAAGCTCTGAGAGTGCCCACCAACCAAGTAGGCTCATTTAGTGTACTCACCTCCCAGCCCCAGCACGGGCACTGTCCAAGCACACATGGAGCTTTTGCCAAGAAAAATCATTCTGAGGTATGAACAAGTATCAACAAACTTCAAAGAAGGGAAATCATCATGTGTGATCTGTAGTAAGAGGGCATTGGAAATCAGAAAGATGATAGAAAAGCTCAGACTTGTAGAACACTTATAACAGTTAATAGATGATAAAGAAGTCCCTATGAAACTTAAAATTATTTTCAGCCAAACAAAAATGAAAACGTAAGATCATTCTCTAAGTACAAACAGAGACATTGCTGTGTTTGTACTTAAAAAGAAGGATTCAAGCATTGTTTCCATGTATAAAATCAGAAACGAAGGCTAAAACCCAAGTCATAGAAGAAAAGGAAATAATAAAGGAAGAACAGAAATCAAGGATTTAAAACATAAGAAAGAAGCAAATCACAACCTTTTTTTTTTTTTTTTTTTGAGACAGTTTCATGTACAGGCTGCCTTTGAACTCACTAGTAGGTGAAGTTGATCTTTTTAAAAAAATTATTTTTATTTTGTATGTATTGGTATTTTGCCTGCATGTAAGTCTGTGTGAGGGCAATGGATCCTAGAGTTACAGACAGTTGTAAGCTGCCATGTGGGTCATGTGGGTGCTGGAATTGAACCCTGGTCATCTGGGAGAGCAGCCAGTGCTCTTAATGACTGAGCCATCTCTCCAGCTCCAGTGAAGGTGATCTGAAACCTTTCTTTTGGTTTTTCAAGACAGGGTTTCTCTGTGGCTTTGCTGGTCTCGAACTCATAGAGACCTGCCTGCCTCTGCCTCCCTAGTTCTGGGATTAAAGGTGTTCGCCACCACTGCTCAGCTAACCTTCTTTCTTATAACATTCTATTTACTGTCGTGACCCAGCTTGTCTCAGCTTTAGCCCACGACAGCCATGAGGTTCGTCCTGAGTGGGTGTGTGGACCTGGAAGCTCCCAGCAACCCAAGGGCGATAAAGATCAAACACATCTTGTCATCTTCAGAGAGCTCTCAGTTCCATGTTGTGGAACTAGAGTCATTTCTTTATTAGCCATCTTTTCTGGTGTTCTTAACCATCCTGCCAATACCACGAGGAAAACATTTCTCTCTTTGTTCCCTCTCTGCTTTTGTCACTTGCCCCTACTAACCCTAACCTTCTGTCCTCACAAGTTACTCACACACCTCTTGCTCCTCCGCCCAGGTGAGAGCCTATTCAGATGCTTAGGCACACACAGATGCAAATAAGAGGCATATAACCCTGAGGCCATGGTAAACAGTAGTAGCCTTACTGGCATTAACAATACAATAGTGGGCCAGAGCTTTCCGGTGCTCCATGTTTAGTGAAACCAAAGGCCCGGATCTCAAAATATTCCGTAGTGGAAAGATTTTGGTCCCCCACAATTTACTATTTCGGGAAGTTTGTGCATGTTTCGATAGTGTGGGTGTGGTGGTCAGAGGACCATTTGGGTCTAGATTCTCTCCTTCTTTGAGGCATTGAGCTCAATTGATCCATTAAGCACATCTGTTCAGTGAGTTATTTCAGTGGCCATGTAGTTAACTTTCTGATCCTTCTTGCCTCTATCTCCTGAGTGTTAAAATCGCAGGCATGCATCATCACACCTGGTTTATGCAAGTGACCTAGGTTTTCATGCACGTTAGACATTACCAACTAAGCTACATCTGCAGCTCCCTCTTTGCTTTTTAAGTATGTATGGGGTATGGGGGTAATTGGGGATTGAACCACTGAACTACATCCCTAATCTTTTATTTCCTTTTTATTATAAAAATTGATAAACCCCTAGCTAGACTAGCAAAGAAAAAAGAAGACAAATTACCCATACCAGGAATAAGAAGGTAATGCCACCATAGACTGCACATATTGAAGGATAATGACTAACAGAGGACCTATGGATATACATATTCAGCAACTTCCTGTTCCTGCAGTAACATACCAAGCATAGTGGCTTGAAGCAATATAGATTCATTACTTTACATCTCTAGAGGCCAGAAGTGTGACATATGAGTATCACTGGCATAAAAATCAAAGCAGGATTGTCAGCAGGATTTGCATCCCTATCTGGAGGTTCTGAGAGAGAATCTGATTCCTTATGTCTCTGAGGTGTTTTTTTTGTTTGTTTGTTTGTTGGTTTGTTTTTCGAGACAGGGTTTCTCTCTGGCTTTGGAGGCTGTCCTGG